GATACAAAATGACTCAGGAGAGTTCAATCCAAAGCTGACTGTGGGCAGTTACAAAGGGAGCTCACGAAACTGGGGGGCTGGGCCACGAAATGGCAAATGAAATTCAGTGCTGATAAGTGCAAAGTGATGCACATTAGAAAATAGCCTCCCCGCTATCCGTACAGAAGGATGGGGTCTAAATTGGCTGTTAGCACTCACAAAAGAGATCTTGGTACTATTGTGGAGAGTTTTCTGAAAACATCTACTTAGTGTGTAGTGGCAGTCAAAAAAGCGAACAGACTATTAGGAACCATTAGGAAAAGGATAGATAAGACAGAAAATATCATAATGCCTCTACATAAACCCTTGGTACACACACCTTGATGCCTGAATGCAGTTCTGGTCATCCCATCTCACAAAAGATATATTAGAATGGCAAAAAGTCTGGAGAAGGGCAACAAAAATTATGATGGGTATGAGCAGGGTCCATGTGAGTGGAGATGTAAAAGAGAGGAATTTGTCCGGTTAGATAGAAGATGATTGGGGGGATATGATAGAGATCTATAAAATGATGAATAGTGTGGAGACGGTGACTAGGGAAATGTTATTTACCTCTTCAAATAATACAAGAACACAGTGGGTCACCCAGGCTATATCTACACTGCCAGTTTTGGGGGCAGAAAATATGCTAATGAGAGTCTCATTTGCATGAGTCGTGATCTCATTTGTGTATTTTCTGCTGATCCATTTTCATGCTAGGGGTTTTTGTGCAAAAACATGCAGTGTGGACGTTTCCTTTTTGCGCAAAACCCCAGGACTGTCCTATGAGATAGTAGCGAAGGGAGGCTGGCACTGGCTGTCTTCTCCTTTGGCTTGCGCCCAGATATTCTTCTTGCGCCCTGTGGCGATCACTTGCCTTCCCATCCGGCTTTGTCATTAATCCCTGTCTCCGTGTGTTCCCTTTGTCTCAGGTGCACCAGGAAGGAGCGGTGCGAGCGCTCCAGCGAGCCTCGGCGATTCGCCTCAGAGATGAAGCAATGTGTCCGGCTCACCGTGCATCCCAACAACATCTCCGTCTCCCAGTACAACGTGCTGGTAAGCAGGACTGACCATCTCCATGGCATCTCCCTGCCCGGGAACCACAACGGGCTCTGACCCTCATGGACAGTGTTCTGTCCCCGGTTCCCCATACCCTTTCATTGGCGTGCTCAGTGGGAAGGAGTAGCTGTCTCCCCTGGGTGCTACCTGACATTCATGGGGGTTTCACTCAGGGAGGGAGCGCTCCGCTTTGTTCCCAAGTTCCCACGTACAACCATGGAGAGGATCTTTCTTATTCTACTGGTTGCACATGTGGATTCCACTTGTGGCGGGTGGGTGAGCCTTGCGCACAACCATCCGGCATTTTTTCCTCAGTGGTATCTGACTGAGAGGAGGGGCAGAGCACGGGGTGCTGGTATAAAGGACCCTGCCACCCCCAAAGCTAACTGCTTGTGGCGGTTGTTGGAATTGCTTAGCTAACCTCAGCAGGTGCTCTTCGCACGTTCATTGTAAATTAACTGCAGACAGGTTTCCAGATCGATAGCATCTTAGTGAACACTCTAGGCAGTGAACGGTGTCTGGTTTTGCTTTTTCCGTTAGTTGGTACTGAGGAATGCCCGACACACAAGGCCTCAAGCCCTGCCTCTCTTGCACGGGGCCATTGCCTCTGAGTGAGGTGCACTCAAGCTCCTCGAAGTGTTTAGGGGAAACTCGCTGCCGAATCTGCAAAGTCTTTCACCCTCAGACAAGGAAAGGCAGAGGAGCTAGGCGAAAGGTTTTTGCTCACGGCGGTGGACCGGAGACCTCAGTCAGAGGCCGATTGGTCAGACTCGGCACCAACTGCCTCAACATTTGTTAGGAGGGCGCCTCCTACGTTGCCTGAGTCCCCACACTGCTGACCCTCTCCGTGCCTAGGACAATGCATGAGACCTGTAAGCAGACTGCTGAGGAAGGAACCCACATCTTACCGGCATGGGAATTGGAGCAGGGTGCAGCCGGAAGCTAAACGTTCCTCCTCTCTCGCAATGCGGAAGTGGGCAAGACAGGTCTCGTCAAGCCTAGTGCTTGAGGGAGCACCTCCTACCTCTGTGGCACTCATCCCAAGGCCAGCTCAGTACTGACCACACTGGCCTCGTTTGCGGCAGCGAGAGACCTTGAGAGCCTTTCGGTACCAGCATGGAGACCGCTTTCCTCAGCACCCGCCACCAGCGGGGCACCAGCCACAGTGGTGCAGCATTCGGTGCTGCGTCAGCCTCCGTTGCCTCAAACCGCACGTCCGTGGGTCCCGTAGAAGGGGCAGTCTGCAATGTGGGCCGCATTGCGTCCTTTTCTGATGAGGCATCCATCTCTGACACTGTTGGGAATGGCTCCTCCTTGGTTCTTCGTGTTGGAGCTTGGCCTCTGGTTCCCACCCTTAGAGCCTACCCTCTTGCTACTCTATTGCCCTGATAGGAACTTTCCGTAGAAGTACCATGGGGTACGTGGGTCACTGCTACCACTTGTCCCGTGGCCTTTTTGGAATCTGTGGTGTTGCCCCTCTGTTTCTAGGGCACACACAGGATGCTCCTGTTGTGTGCCAGGGAGAGGTATAGAGCGTGTATTTGCCTGTTCCTGAGCCCAGTACTTGATTCTGTACGGGTAGCAAGAAGAAATTCAGGAGGCTGCTAGTAGAGGAGGAACAGCTTCAGCCTGTGGTGGCCTCTTCTTCCTCCTCTCCAGTTCCTCCGGGGACATTTTGCCTCCCCCAGATGATTATAAGGCCTACCAAGAGCCGTTAAAGAGGGTGTTACCCGCACAAGATTCTCTGTCACTCCCGCACTTCAGGGGTGCATACCATGACCCAATTCCTAGGACTCAAGATGTAACACCATTAATTTAAATATCCACCCTCGCCCAATACCTAGGGCTCAGGGAGTAACTACCTGTGGGTTTGCAGGATCTTTTACCAGTGAAAGAGCCTTACACAGTAATATCCTTACTCTATTTATTAGCAATTACCAAGCAAGCAGAATACACATGCTGAGCACACAGTGCCATGCTCACCAGTCCTGATCAAGGCAGGCAAAACATCCCCTGTTGGCCAGGCAAGATCAATTTCCTTTGGATTCTGGTTGCTGCATGTTATTGTCACGCAGAGGATTCTTGACAGCTCTGGTCTTAGACTGTATCTTGAGGTTGAGTTCTTCCAGGTCTTTCCCTCTTATTATTTTCTGTTCTTTCTCCCCTTCTCCCCCCTTTTTGATTGGTCTCCTTCTTGGACCACAGTAAAACTTGAGACCTTAACCAATTATTTTACTGCAATTTTACTACTGTAACAGAATTACTTAACTAATCATGCCCCGCCATCTAAGTTGACTTACACCTAGCAAAATTAATTATAGAGCAGACAGAAACAATTAGAAACCAGCTTGAACGGGAATCTGCAGAACTTAATTTCATTTACAACTTTGATGTCTACAATAGAGGTTTAAACAAAGACCTTAACTGGATTACCTGCTACATTCCACATCCTAATGATGTAAAAAGCCAAACACGAGGTACCTAAGAGTTCTTAAAACCCACTCAGCTTCATTTAGCATGGACACTCAAATTCACTATTCTTTGAGAGTGGCCTTGCCTCTTAACAAGGTAATTATAGACCCTCTGGCAGACCCCTTCATCCTACGTCCTAAAGGGTGAGTGTAAGTATTATGCTCCCCCTGCGTGGTTGGAATACCTATATTCTCGCCCTGTAGCAGGTTCACCGGTGGTGTGGGTAGCCAATGAAAGGGAATGACCAGAGCAACAAGGAGTAGCCCCCAGATCAAAAGATGTAAAAACACTAGGTCCGTTTGGTAGAGAAGTTTATCCCACTGGAGGGTTGCAACTCATGGCTGCCAATCCGCAAGTGCTGGCCACTCAGGAATTAGCTCGTTTGGCCCTGGAGCGCCCCCTTCCGTCCGGTGTCTCACCCACGGTTACCTGTTTTGTCCTCCACCTCTGGGTACTGCCCTATCACAGTGTCCCCACTCTCTGGGGTCCTCCCCCTCTGGGAACCCCCATTCCCTTATCCCCACCTTGCTTCAGTGACTTGCTGCCAGTCACCATCTAGCCCTTACCTGAGGGACAAGCTGCCGTCTGAAATGGCCACTCATCCTTGGCACAGGGTGGACCTGCTGCCTTTACTTACCCTGGCTGCCCCACCCCCACAACCCTAATACGCTTAGGCCTTGCTTCAGGCTGGGAGCTAGACTGGCCAGAGCTTCTCTAGCTCCGCCTGCCTTTCCCCAGCTTTGCTCTAAGTCAGGAAGCCTCCAGCTTCCCTGGCAGCCGGTCCCTGGCAGCAAGAGTGAGTGAGTCTCTGCCCCTCCAGGAGCCTTTATTGATACTCCCCTCAGCTGGGCCCTAATTAGCCAGTTCCTGCCTCAGCTGTGGGGCCCTGCTCTCTCAGCCCTCTCCTCGGGCTGGGTTTTACCTTTAAAGGGCCAGTGCGGAGCAGACGCCTTGTCACAGTGGGACTCGATTCTAAAGCTTAGAGGCGTGTTGCCAGAGGATGGGAGGCGGGAGCTCTCCTCGTTTGTCGACGAGGGGAAATCAGCTCCCCCTGCAAGGGATTGTGTCTCCGGCCAGGGACTGGTATCTCAGATGAGACTCAAACTCTCGTGGGCCTCATGCTCAGAACTAGTTTATCTGATGGGGGAGCACGTCAGACTTTGCGTGAGCACATGTGGTCATGTCGCCCTCCAGTGGCTGGTCCCAGCAAGGTTAAGGCTCAGGTATTTACTAACCTGGCCCATGTCTACACTAAGGGGAAGAGCGATGCTGCTGCGGTCGATCTTCCAGGGTTTGATTGAGTGGGTCTAGTGAAGACCTACTAATTTGAATTGAGAGGGCACCCCGATCAGTGCCGGTTTTCCTGGTCCTCACGAGAAGTAAGGGAAGCTGACGGTAGCATTTGCTCCTGTTCACCTTCTGCTATGTGGACTGTGATTTAAGGTATGTCAGCTCCAGCTACGTGATTAACATAATTAACGTAGCTGAAGTGGCATATCTTAAGTCAATCTTCTCCTTTAGTGCAAACGTGTCCCATGAGAGGCGTAACTCCTTTAGATCACTAGCAGACGGCTGGTGCCTCTGGCGTGGAAGTACCCTGGTGCTGCTGGTGTCTATATAGTTGTGGCCACGGTTTGTTACTGTGGCAGGTGGGGATGAGGGGGTGGGTGCAGCTAACCGGGTGCAGAGTTACGATTAGAATCATGAGCGGGACTTCATGTAGACTGGATCTTCCATTCCAACTGGTGAGAAACCCAGTGATGCTGCGTGAGAACATGAACTCCCTGGAAAGTTGGATTTATTTCATGTCACCTGCTGTTTGTTTATTTCATGACACCACATTAATAGCAAGGCCAGTGGGCATCAGGTCATTCCAGGGTGCCAGACAGCGACCGAGCGCCTACCTATCCTTTTAGTTATGATGTTAGTGCTCCAGCAGGGCATGGCCTCAGGGCTTTCTTCTCCTGTAACCGAATGAGCAAATGGGGCTGGCATTTAGGATCTGCCTGAAATGGTGAAGTCATCCAGCTGGCTCACGAGAGGCAGCGGATGCGTTTGGCTTACTGAAGGCTGTAACTAGACTCTCTATACACAGGAACTTGTTGGTGACAGACAGCTCCCTCTGTTGGTGATGCTAGGAGAGGAGGCGTAGAGAGTTAGACTGGAGCGCTACAGTTTCTCTGTAGTCCGCAGAGTGCCTCTTGTGAGTAATAGTCACCTTCCACAGAAACCTTGTGCCAAGGGGGCCAGTGAGCCCCGCCTTCACAGCCTCCTCCAAAGACTCCCACGCCAATATTACACCTGCATGACCGAAGCCGAGCACTCACCCCACTGAACGCACCCGCACAGGGAAGCAGCAGCCACCACCCCCACATAGCCACGTACCACTTGTGTTTACATCTGCATTCCATCCCCCTCCCCGGGAGTCGCTGCTTTCTGTCGAAGGAGGATCCTTTATCTAGCAAGAGGCTCTTTGTCCAACCTCTCCAGTGTAATTCTCTTCTGCCGGCCTCCTCCGTCCGGGAGCTGAGCGCTCTTTTTCTCTCTCCCCTCCTCCCCCTTTGCTCGCAGCTGGTCCTGGAGACCTACAACGTCCCCGAGCTGTCAGCCGGAGTCAACTGCACCTTCGAGGACCTTTCCGAGATGGATGGCTTGGTGGTGGGGAACCAGATCCAGTGCATCTCCCCGGCTGCCAAGGAGGTGCCCCAGATCGTCATGGAGAATGGTGAGCAAACGCTGGGGTGGGTGGGAGCACAGCAGCTGGGAGAGCAGTGCATTGGTGGGTATGCGTGTGTCTGTATGGGCCCTAAGGCAGCACACTGCACTTATATATGGGTATGTCTACACTACCACCCTAGTTCGAACTAGGGTGGTTAATGTAGGCAACCGGAGTTGCAAATGAAGCCCGGGATTTGAATTTCCCGGGCTTCATTTGCATCTTGCCGGGCACCGCCATTTTTAAATCCCCGCTAGTTCGGACTCCGTGCCCGCGGCTACACGCGGCACGAACTAGGTAGTTCGGATTAG